CTTCTCCCAGGCAACCAGCAGTAGAACTCAGGGCACAGACTCAATCTCTGCCAGGGGAGGTTTAGGTTGGATATTAGGAAGAGATTTTTTACAGAGAGAGTGATCAGGCATTGGAATGTGCTGCCCAGGGAGGTGGTGGATTCACCATCCCTGGCGGCTTTCAAGCTGAGACTGGATGTGGCACTTAGTGCCATGGTCTAGTGACAAACCATTGGGTTGGACTTGATGATCTTGGAGGTCTTTTCCAACCCAGCTGATTCTATGATTCGGGCTTATTTTTGTCTTCCACGTCATTAGGCTTTGTTAGCCTTGCATACTGTGTATTTGAAGTTTAGGAATCAATTTAGTCATTGGATAGGACTCCCTATTTTCAGTTTTCTGTCTTCTTAGACATTGGGATCTAATAGGTTTGGGGAGAGGTCAAGGTTTTTTCACATGAGAATTGGTGTTGGAAGTGATGCTAAGAGATTGTCTTCAGGTCAGGGTCGATTACATTTACCCATTCAGAAACAGTGGTGATCACCCTGTTTTTGAACATCTTCAGCATGGGCATTTAACGGCCTACTTGTGAAATTTCTTCTACTGCATGCTGCCCTTGATGATGATTTTTTGTTTCCCCTAGGTTTTAGCCTGTATTATCTTTGCTTATTGGAGTAATTACTGTTGTACTATTCTTTATGAATGTGGCAAAGAAATTTCTTCAGGAAAAGAGAGGAAGGCAGATTTTATTTAGGTGCTATCCTCCAACCATTTATTTTCTTAAGCTGAGTATCTCCAATTCTTTTAAACTTTCCTCAGAGTCTATAAAAGAAAAAAAACCAACCGACAAGTAACCCTTACTTTCCCCTCCGAAAAGACCTGCTCAAGTCAGTCCACATGTTTTTTGATGAGATACCCAAAACCAGGCACAGTAATCCTACAGATGTCTTCGAATGGAACAGAAGAATTTCTTAAGCAGCTCTGCAGTCTGTACATACCATGTGTGTGTGTACAGAGTGGAATGTTTGCAGTTTTGAGCAGGAAATTGAATGAGGTTTATCTTCTGACTCACAAGAGCCTCTTTCACAGAACTGCTGGCTAGCTGATTTTTCTTTATCCCATTATAGCACTTTTAATTATTTCTTGCTAAGCAGAGTAACTTTCACTTGTCCCTATTCAAATGGGTTCTATTTTTTCATAAGTCAGGATGGAATTTTGTAGCTGAGATCTCCCAAGAATAATGTAAGTTCTGTTGGAGTGAGGTTTTGGGGTAGCTCTCTTGATGACATTTTTCAAGTGTTCCGAACGTGTACATTTAGAGTTAACCATTTCTCTACAGCCTAGTGTCTAGAGGAGGAGAGGACTACATGTTGTTTAGTGCATAGTTCCCTGTGGTATGGCTGTGTTTTCTCCTTGCTGTTAACTGTTTGGATATTGTTCAGCTATGGCCTTGTGTTGTGATTTGCTGATGACAATTGTGCCACTCTTCCAGACTCTTTCCAGAGTGCTAGATACGTTCAGAATACTGAACATCTCACCAGATTGGCTTTGACTGTAGTGGCCTAGTCTCTGACATGTTCTCTAGCTTGTGCCAGTGCTGCATTCCTGGAACCAGTAACTGTTTTGCCAGAAGGAAGCTTGGGATTTGTTTGGGTGGATTTATGATTATGTTCTGTTTGTATTACCTATCGGGTTCTTGACTCCAAGCAAATTACAGATTTTAAATACAGTTCAGAATGAAATCAATAATGTTGATTGTGTTACCTGTTTCTGGGGCGCAGTGTAATGATGCTGCTTTCCAGTTTTTCTCTTGTGTGAAAACTGATTGTCAGCTTTCATATCTTCTTGCTGGTGCAACAGAAGCATTTATTGCCTCTGTCAAAGTGATGCAAGCATAGAAATTTTCAGATAAACTGCTGCTTGGGATGTTTGCTACCTGGCTAGAATTAGGAAACACTGGATGAGTCACTGTTTCAGCCTAGTTCTGCAAACAATGAGCCAGTAGTAACCCCCCAAAAAGTAAAAATGCAGCATTTGACTTTCGTGTAGATTTTTTCACAGACACTTGACTATAGGAACTATGGTGTCATTGAAACAAATAATAAAGGATTCATCATCAGAAGGTCATTTTTGGATGTTCTGTGAAAGCAAATGCCTCCTTTCTGATATAGAAGCAAAGCCATTTACAGAGTATTGGAAATTTTGCGTAAGAACTCATAATTGTATGGGCTAATACTGTACAACTGAAGTTCCAGAGAAACTTCTTTACAGAAGCGTTCTAAAAAACAAACAAGGCAGTGAGATATCTCAAGTTTAGCACAGATTTTTTTTTTCTTGGAAAAGTGGTGGGCTCTTTCAGGAATGCAGGGACTATGACTCTCTTATAGAGTGGATGAAATGGTAAGGACATTTTTGCTGGGGTTGAGATTTGAGCAGTGAACAGAGTGGGAAACCAACTGAGGTTTGGCTTTTTACCAAATGGAGCTGTCAAGGTCTGTGTTTCTAATACATCTCTAATTCTCTTTGAGGAAAATTGATTATTTGTGAACTGAAAAATGTCAAGGAAACTCGTGTTATTTGCTAGAACTATTTTTCGCCTCCTCTCTTGGCATATCCTTGGATGTACTGTTCTGCACCAGGTGTGGGTGGGTTGGGGCTGAGAGAAGGGTGAAACAGGCTTCTTACTGGATCTCAACTGGAAAAGCCCCACCAAGAAATGTCTTCATGAAATGGCTGGTTTAGTAAGATAGAATAAAAAGCGGGATACAGACAGTGAGAAAAATCTCCCATTCCTTCAGATACTGGGAGCTCTGCTTGTGTGCAGCATCCCCCAGACCGTGGGTGGATTTTCCCACAGCACACTACACAAATTCTGTCCATGCAGCCATTTTTCCTTTTTTGTCATTTGAGCTATTATTTTCTTCTTGTTATTCTGTCTTGGTGTAAACAGTGATTTTATTAAGCCATTTGTTATCAGGCCTGTCTTGTTGAGATCTCAAAAAAACCTCTGTATGAGCTCTCTCTGTGCCTCACTGTTGCTCACTCTCTGCCTTCTTGTACCTCACTGTTGCTCTCCCTTTCTCTCCCTTCATCCTTCACTGTGCAGAGCATGTACCTGCTTTTATCTTGGGGGTTTATTACATGTAATGTCTCGAGTTTGTGTGCTTCAGATTACCTGGATAGTTTGCATAACAGTTTGTTATAATGTTAGTCAGATGCTGAAGGTCAGTGTGTAATAATTTTTCAGAGAGCCATGTAGGGCCTATCCTTGGATTTTCCTCTCTGTCTGGAATCCTACTGATTAGAATTCTTGTAACTTGTGAAACTGGTAGCAGCTTTTCCCCTCCCCACCTCAGCCTTATGTAAAATTAAACATTCCTTCTCAGTGTCTTAGAGCACAAATCTCATGAGGAGCTGCTGAGGGAGCTGGAGCTGTTTAGTCTGGAGAAAAGGAGGCTCAGAGGGGCCTATTGCTGTCTACAGCTACCTGAAGGGAGGTTGCAGCAAGGTGGGAGTCGGCCTGTTCTCCCAAGTGACAAATGATAGGACAAGAGGAAATGGCCTCAAGTTGCTCCAGGAAGGTTTTGCTTGGATATTAGGAGAAAGTTTTCACCGGAGGGGGTTATTGAGCATTGGGACAAGGTGTCAAGGGAATTGGTGGAGTCACTCTCCCTAAAGGTATTTAAAAAATGTGTAGATGGTAGCCCACAGGGACATGGTTTAGTGGTGGAGTTGGCAGTGCTGGGTAAACAGTTGGACTTGATGATCGTAATAGTCTTTTCCAACCTAAATGGTCCTATGGTTCTATGATTTCTCCGTAAATGACAGAATTCATCTGTGTGTATCTGTAGTGGTGAGTAATGGGCAAACTCCTTGAATGATTTCAAGCTTCCATCAAAACATTGTGTCCATTGAAAATTTTGGTTTTGTTCTTTTGTCTGTTGACCTGATCAGTGTTGTAATTCCAGGTTTGACAAAATAACATGAGAAGCCCTTAGTTAGGGGAAGTCAGAGAAATCAGTTAATTTTCCAAATATTGTACTTCAAAAGGAAATTTATGCAACAAATGAGGTAGTGTAAGCCTTCAGCTGTCATGATGGAATATTTTCTGTTTATAAGGATAATCTGGATTATGGAAGGTGTCATAATGGTTATGATTTTTGGTTTTTATTGAGGTTTCCTTTGTTAATTACCTTTTAAAACCCTCCCCCTAATATTTTTTACATTTGATGCCATTCATAACTACAGTATTTTTGTAGTTCTATTTTGCATGTGCCCTGAAAAAAATTATAGTAAAGCAAAATGAGTATTCCTGTGTAATCTTACTGGTTTCAGGTCCTGCATAATTACTGTCATAATTGCATAGCAGTTGAGCTGCAAGCCTCTCCTGTGAGTTGAGTTTAGCTGTATGCCTGTCTAAACTTTCTTCTTTTGTGATCATTTTAGGTGGAGAACTTCATTTCCTTCAGATTGGAGGCACCTGCGATGACATAGATGAAGCTGATATACTTGTAGATGGATCTCTTTCCAAAAGTGTAGAACAGTCCTCAGAAGGCACCAAGCCCTTATCTAACCCTTCTAGTCCAGGCATTGCAGGTAAAGTGCAGATGTATAAATGTATTGTGAGTAAAAATACTTTTGTAATTTTTGGAAGTTGCCTATGAAGATGATTTTCAATTCTTTAGTACCGTGTTGCTTCATAATTTTTTTCTGCCCGAGGTTGGAGTGGAAAAGGAACTAAACCATTCATGTAGCTATGGCTTTCATAGAAGTGATGTTAATTTTGTGTGTGCATGTGTGTGTTGGGGGGTGTCTTTGCTTGCAGCTGTAGAGGGCAAAAAACACTGGGAGAGGACTGACTGGCAGTACAGGAACCATTTTGGATCATGACATCTTTGTTCTCAGGAGGCTACTTGCTGTCTTTCTCCCAAAACCCCTGCTTGCTGTCTGCCTTCTAACACGAAGTTGTGCCATACTCTGTTTGGGTGATCTCTGATATTATTCCATAAGACTCAGCAAAAGAGGGAAGGACAAGATACTTTTTGCCATAAGATTATTTGTGAGCAGCATTACAGCAGTTCCTTTGGGGACTGAATTTCTCATTCTCTTTTTCACCAAAGAAGCCATTCCTGAAGTTTGAAAATCACTAGGAAATAAACTGTTGTACATATGTGAGGGGAAAAGTCTCTGCGCTTTCTTCTGCACCCTTCTTTTGCTAATGGCAAATGAAGCAAAAAAAAATTAAATTTTATGAGTATCAGGGACATAGATGTGCTTCAATGGATGCATTCCCCGTACAGTAGATTATCAGAAGATAAAGTGACTTCCAGTCCAATGGTAGCTTTGACTAACCTGGTGAATCAAATAGATGATCATTGCTGTTTAAATTTTGACAGTACTGTAAAGGGGATTTTTTCTTTTCTTTTTTTTTTTTTTATCTCTTTCCCATCCATCTCAGTATAGACTTCAATATGGCTTATTGGAACAAAAATTGGAACAAATTGATTTACTTACAGTGACTTTGAAGTCTATACATATCTTTAGGGATTGAAAGCACATTACATGTATGTGATTGCTCTGAATATTCGGAGTTTGTATTTGTTTCTGTTGGATGGGGAAGGAGAAGGAAGCAGAAGAATCCAGCCTACTCGAAGACAGAGTTGTTGTACAGTTTGAGCTATGATCGCGCTTCTCGTTGCAGTGTCATCCAGCTAATGAGGTTCACATTTGGCAGTTAAAAACGTGAAGGCCTTTGCTGTATTACTGAAATTCAATTTCTTCAGCATTTCTAATTTCCTCAGCATTTTCCTTCTGCACAGATTGAAAAGTAGAAATTGTTGTAGTTGCAATAAGAGTGAATTTTTTACCTTTCACTGGGTATCTCACATTGAGCTCAACCTGGCTTGCTTTGCAGGATAGTTTTTAGATTCAGAGTTTACTGGGAGGGTGGTATTGGTATTGGTGTGTTATTATCCCCCCACCCCAGGTGGTGACAGTGGTAGTCAGGAATCAAACTTTGTCCTTTTGAAAATCATAATTTCTTTACAAGTAATCTCCAAAATGTATTTTTAAGAGAAAATGTTCAAAATAAAAAAAAAAAATTGTTGTGCATGTCTCATTTTCCATCAAGTGGGTTTTTTTGATTTTGCCTTTGTCTGAGAAAATATGATTATTTTTAGAGTTTCTTTGTGGTTTCTTCAGGTGTTTAGCTGCCTGGGATATTTCAGTTTTCAGTACTTCAATTAATATCCTTGTTTCCTCAGTACAAGGCTTGAATATGTAGACAGGAAGACAAAATAATTTTCTAGGCCCATTGTCTTTTGAGTGCATTGCATAAAGTATGTTTGTTTTTCATCTGCCCCTTTTCTGAGATAAACTGGGAAACTTCCACAGCATTCTAGTAATCCACCATAAAACTAGTCTATATTGATAAGTAGGTACCAAAGTAATACATTAAACAGTGATAAAAATGTTAAATTGCATACTAATTGTGTGTCTGTTTTCATGAAATATAAAATTTTATTGTATTTTAAATCTGAGTCAATAGAGACATGTTTAATCAGCTTTATATCTTCAAAGTATAGCTGGCTGATGACTTACTCCTGCTGCTTCTGGCTGAATCCCAGACAGCCTGCTCAGACCTCTCAGTACTTAGAAAATTTATTCCAAAGGAACTGCCTTCAGAGGATGCTGGCTGCAGGGCTAGGGTTCTTTAGTTGCTTGTGTTTGAGGTTCTTTGTAGTTGTGAGGGTTTTTGTTTGTTTAGTGTGGTCCCTTTTCGTGTGTGTTTTGGGTTTTGTTGTTACTATGCTTTAACTGAAAAACCTTCATATAACATGTAGTTATTTTGATCTATAGCAGTTTGGATCCACTTCAGACTGTTTATAGGATGTTCTGGAAAAAGTATCTCTGTATTAATGAATGTACGGTCTGTAATTATTCAGGAGTTGATCTTTTGGTGGACCAGCCATTTTCCCTGGAAACACTGACATCCCTGGTGGAACTGACCCGTTTTGAGACCTTGACACCACGATTCTCAGCCACTGTCCCTCCCTGTTGGGTAGAAGTCCAGCAAGAGCAGCAGCAGAGGCGACATCCTCAGCATCTGCACCAGCAGCACCACGGGGATGCAGCTCAGCATACTCGGACCTGGAAGCTACAGACAGACAGGTGTGTGGGGTAACAGCTCAAGGAGGAATCGTGTGCATTGCTTAACTATAGGTTGTATAACTGTACAATCACAAATTTCCTGCAATTTAATTGTTTTTAAGTAGTGTGCAAGTTTGAGAACATGGAATTTCAAAGATGATAATCCCTATTTGGTTGTTTGTGTTATGGGTCTTTTGTGAGATTGCCAGAGTTGTTTCAGTGGACCTTGAAACAAATTGAAAAGTCAAGTTTTGAACTGGTGTATTTTTATTTGCCAAATGTGGCCATTTCATTATGTAATTAGACGAGCACTTTTGCCAGAATTATAGATATTCTTGATAGTCTCTGTAAAAGTCTGATTCACCCTTCTTATGCATACACACATTCTTAGTACATTTTTTAATTGGAGAATGCAAGCTGTGGGTGCCAGTATGACTAATTAGTTGTCCTAAATGGAATCGTGTTGTAATTTATTTTAAAACACGAAGATAGAATCCAGATTCATGTCTATTCATGTCAAGATAAACCTTTATATGCAAGACATTTACTTAAGCCACCATAGAGCCCTGGTTGTGCTAAAATTTAGGCAGTATTTTCGTGGAAATGAAGAGCAGCAACATGGTATGTGTAGTAATACTTAGTTTTCACATGTGACATGAGAACTTGGAATTTCTCTGGGATCCTGAGGAGGAGAGCAGCAGTGTTGCAATCTCCTTGAAGAGTTGCTTAAAACCTATTTGAAGTAGCTTTACGTAGTTTCTCTGAAAAATCCTTCGAGAAACAAAATATAGATAAAAGTTTTGTTGTTGCTTTATTAAGGGGTGTGCATAAGACACTACCAGATCTTTTGAGTCAGGCTGGTACACATCTGTTCCACTGATGTATGAGATTTGGATAGTGAAGCAGAATATAAATAACCATGCAGTATAAACAGTGAAATGGCCCAAGGATGCTAGGGAAACTAGAGATCATATGTGAGGCAAAAAAGCTTGTCATGTGAACAAGTGAAAGCTGGCATGTGCTAATGAATCCTGCCAGGTGGGAAAACAGGTAATACTTGCAGGCATTTCCAGGGCTGACACTTAGCAGGAGCTGAACTTGCTTTAATGAAATATTCATAAGCTATGGTTTAAAAACCTACAGTGCATTGTAGGCTTTAAAACCTGTATTTATCGTGTGATTTTGCTTTGTGTAAGTAAAATATTCTGTATGTAACAAGTGGAAAGCTTCCTTGCAAAATAACTTTCAGTTAAAACAGTTGATTATCCAAGTGTGCTCAGCAACAGCTGAAAAGTAGAAAGCTACCAATGTGAAGATATAAGGAAGCAGACAGTGAAAGGTCCTGGGTATTAATTGGAAGGTGATAAGTGGAAAATTAGCTTACAAATATTGTTTCATTAGAGGACAAGAATTACACCTGCTGCAAAGTAAAACAGGATTGTTAAAGAGGTAGAGTTAAAAGTTTTGGTTTAGTACTGGAAGTCTTTGACAGCTGCTAAATGAGTCATGATGAGGATGATTAAATTACAGTCCCTTTGTTCTTGGGGTAGAATCTTAAGATTGAAAGCAATGTTGGCTCTTAATTAGAAGTTACCCTGGGAAGAAATTTTTCGATTTCTGGATTATTTTGTTGGTCCTTATTATGAGGTTCCTTTTATCTCCTCTTTGAGTGCCTCATGCTGATACCTATCAAGATGTGAGATTACAGGGTTAGATGGATGAGTAATGCAATTTGATATGGTAATTCTTTTGTTTCACAAATAGATAGAAAGAGATAATCCTGTAAACGTGTTTAGAGAATGGCATTGTGTTACACTTATTCTCTTTCAATCCTACTTTGTTATTTTAAAAAGACAATGTAACATAGAAACAGCAAAGCAGAATCTTGTTTACCTTGTGAGTTACCTAAATATCAGTATTGTCCCCTCTGAATTTAACTGAAATATTAAATTGGGTTAATAATTTTTAAAGACACATATGAATTCCTAATGTGCATGGATAAAACAGTGACATCTGAGTGTCCTGGCTTTTTTCAGATTTATATAGGAAATATTTTATGCATTAATCTTGTGCAGACAAGATACTGATGTGCTTTCCAGTGTTTAAACTCTGGAAATGGGTCTGCAGCTCAAAGTTCAGTTGTAATTGAAGATCAAATGATGAGATGTTCTGGAAAAGGAATGAATAAGTGTGTTAGAAAATATTTGGTAGTTGTGAGAATGATGGTAGATTGGCATTTAGAATACAGTATGTATGTTCTTTAAAAAGATGTTATACATTTAAAAAGATTTCAAAGGTGAGAATTGTTGCTAAAAACTTGTATTAGAGTGAGAAAAGTGATATTTAGGATGGATATGCTAAAATACTCAAAATAATGAGGAAGTAAATTGAATTTTTTGCTGCTTTGAAACTTTACATACGAATAAAAAGAGGATGCATTTAAACAGGCTGATGAGAAATTTTAGAACTGTTTAAAGGAGAGTTTTCACTTATCACAGAATTAGATTGTGGAGTTTGCCACAGGTATAAGAAAGTGTCTGGATTAATGTGAGACCTTCAGGGATGTTCATTATTCCAAACTTGCCTATTGTGCATCTGCTGCTCAGTTCTGTCAGGAACAGATTTCTGGAGCAGACAAATAACAGTTGTAATTGGATATGGATGTATGCATTCTATACATGTATACAGACTACTGCAGACAGAGTGGATTATTATTCAGTTCTGGTTTTGTACCAGAGCTTTAATTTAAACTGGGTGAGCTGAATATTACTTAGCCTTTCAGAAGTCTGGCTCCTTTGAATGTCTCATCCTAGTCCATGCTTTGCATGACATGAAAAAACATCCCCAAACCTCTCCCTGTTTTGCACTGGGCTATGGGTTCTCCAAAGCAGAGTAAAGCCATGAATCATTCTAAGTATTTAGTATTACATTTGCTAACAGAGGATTTGGGATTTTTTTTTGCCCCAGAGCTGTAGGATGAATTTTAATTTTATTTACCTCAGTTATTTGTACAATTACCTGAAAAATCTTCACTGTTACTTTTTAAATCATAACCAGCAGCTCTCTTTTGTCCATCTTTTGCTTCTGTCCATCCTTCCTCCCAAACTCTCTGCTTTTCTATGTTGCTTGTTCTGGAGATCTGGCATGCTATTTCAGCATTAAGCTCTTGTAAGTGTGTTCTATGTGTCTGAGGGAGATCTGGCCTTCAGGGATATTAGTGTAAAGAATTGAATACATTTGCAGCAATATTTAATCTATTTTTAAATTATTTTCTGTACAATATTCAACGTGTAACATTACTTGATTTAAAGTAACTTTCTGTAATTCAGATGTTAGAAAAAATCTAAAAGCTGTTTATAGCAGCATACTCAGTTTCTCTGTTCTCAGTTATACAATTAAATAATCACACTATCAGAGTTTCTCGTTGAAGAAAATTATTTACTGCTAAATTGAGAAGATCAGGAAGTTCAGTTATTTTTAAAATGTATACAAACAGAACAATTGACTCATGATAGTTTTGTTTTAATTGCTCTTTGATTTGAGCTAATTTTCGCAAACCCTAGTGTATCAAACTATGGATGGGATCATTGAGGGATACTTACTTATCTCAAGTGTACCTTCTTAAGTGTAAACCAGAGTTGTCCTCAGAAGGAAAATGTGACTTATTAAAAGAAAGCTGCACCCATTTTGAACAGCACAGGCTTCTAGTGTGCACCTGGTGAGAGGTACTTCTCATCCTGTGCAAATTATCAAATGTGGTTTAAAAATAAATTTGAAGCTAGTATTTTGAGTCTCTTGGATGTGGCTTTTGTGCCACTGGAAAGTGACATTGGTAAGTGTTAAACAATGGGGAAGGGCAACTCAAGAGATTCCAAGGTACTTATGTACTGTCATGCTTTCATACACTTCACTGATTGGTAGGTCCTTTTTAGTGTTGTGCTTGTTTTTCCTCGTACTTTTCTTTTTCATGGAAATGAGTAAGTGATATTTATAATAATATGGAGACAGTACTGCAACGAAGGTAATGGGGAATCGTTCCACTGCTGCTTTTACCCGAACATTGTTTTGCCCTGTCTTGTCAATAGTCCTTTTAATGGCTTCTTCACAAAATTGATGTAGTAAATTGCAGCTTGGAAGACCTGTACTGCAGAATTTCGTGTGGATGTCAACTAACACAAAATAGGTTTTTCTTCTCATTAAAGACTGTGCATGGATGAAGGATGCACTGTGTGATGCTGCCTGCTTAGTCTCAGTTTTGTCTTAACACTGGGTTATTGTCATCTTTTTTTTTTTTCCCCTGACAGCAACAGCTGGGATGAGCATGTCTTTGAACTGGTTCTACCAAAAGCCTGTATGGTTGGACATGTGGACTTCAAATTTGTTTTGAATTCAAACATCACAAACATTCCCCAGATTCAAGTGACTTTACTGAAAAATAAAGCTCCAGGCTTAGGCAAAGTCAATGGTAAGAAAGAACTTAAGATATCTTTCAGAATGTTATTTCTTTTTGCAAACTCATTGTTGTCTGTGATGTGTGTTACAAAATCTGCTTGAAATTGTCTAAGTATTTGAGTTTTGCATATTTCCATTTTATTCTATTTCTCAGCATCATGGTCTCTTTTCACTAACCATGTTTTGAATGTAAATTGGGGAGACAGACAGGGTAAACAGTTTCAAAATCCTGACTTCTGTAAAAATAAAAGTGCATAGCTCAAAAAGGTTCAACAGAATTATTTCTCCGTACTGCTTGAATCCTACAGTCGTTAAAAAAAATACATTATCGATTGTAAATCATCCTAGAAATTGACTAATGAAACAAATGGTCTTGAAATATTTTTAAAAATTATAATAAATTATTCCAACTCACAGAAGGAAATTATTTGCCAGTGCCTCTTGGATACATAAGAGAAAATAGCAAGGCTTTTTTGATGGCATTAGATAAAACCTGGCTTCCTTGGGAATTCAGTCGTCATTTGGCTCGTTAATTAAACTATGTGAAAGCTGAAGTATGATTTCACCTTTTGTTCCTTACAGCTTTGACAGTGTAAGACCAAAGTTGTCTTCTTGCCTTGGGAAGACTTGTAACTGGGCTCTGCATCTTACTAGTTCTCAGGGAGCCTGTGAGGGGGTAGCATAAATTGAAAAGTCACTTCTTTGATGTGGTGGAGTCTGTGCCTCCATTGGGATTTTCCTGTGGTGAGAGTGTTCATTGCATATGCTGCTGCCCTGTCTGCTAGGAATGGAAGGTGTTACATGCAGCACCTCCTTTTATTGAGGCATTAATTGGTTATCTTTATCTGGCCACCTTTTCTTGAAAAGCTTCTGGGAACTCAGTATTTCAGAGAAATCTTGCTGTCAGATATTAAATTGGCTGCTGGATAAGAAATGTGTTGGGGAGAACAGCAGGTGTGATCACAAAAGCTGCTCTTCTTTTTTTCTACTTTTTTAATGGCTAAGAGAATTTCAGTTAAACAAGGGTAACAGAGCTGTAAATTTCAAAAAGGAATACAGAAGTACCAAAGATCATTGATACACTTTCACACAACTTCTCACTCTGTAGCATCCCCCAGTGTTTAACAAGGGAAAAAGTGTGCTGCTCCCTGAAAAAAATCCTGTAAACTGGTTGTTATCCAAGAAAAAAATATTCTAGCATAGTAATGTTCTTGGAGAAAAACCTGTTCTTTTAGACTGCAAGATGATTTAGAGTTTGAACAGAATTGCTAGCTGGGACCACAGGGCAGCAGTCAACAGGTGTTCTTTCAGGTTCTTCATTTTTTTAATGCATGAAGTAAAACCTTAGTTTTTATATGTAGCAGAGAACTTTTCTAACAGTGAATAAAAGAGGACTCATGTTGCTCTTCTGAATGGAACCTGCTTTGTTCTCAGCATGAATTCAGTCCATTGCAGGTCTGGATGTCAGAATTAGTCTGAAATCTTCACCTGTGAAACAAAACAATAGAAGAAAACCTAGAGTATTGTCCTTAATGTTTCAGTTTTAAATATTTATGAGCAAAGAGCTCCATGAGTTGGTAATTCTTTGGAGAGATTTGATTTGGCTGTGAACTGGATTGCCAGAGCTTTCTGTGAATGCTTTACAGCACAGCATACTGATCAGAAGACATGACAGAGCTCTTCCAGCAAGTGACATTTCACTTCTTTGCATGCAATGTACTGGAATTTGCTTTTTCTGTTATAGATAGGGTAGAGAAGGCATGGAATGGAGGGTCAGGGTATACACAGGCAGTCTGGAAAGGACTGGGAGATGCGTGAGTAGCTGCAAGGCAGCCTTGGCAAGGTCTTTTTTTGGGTTTTTTTATTCAGTAGGTTTGGAGAGCCACAACTAACCAGCATCTTCCCAAGTGTTACTGCATTGCAGTTGTTTCCTGCCCTTTTTGAATTTCTTGAGTTTTGGAAAAGGACCTTAGTGACATTTGCCTTTTTTCTATACTCTACTGAATAAATTAATAGGGCACTAATGATTTAATTATAAGGTAAGATGAACCTAGATAATTTATATCTGTGATGGATCTTAACCAAAATGTTCCAATCCTAGGGAGAAGTAATATTCAGGATTGTTTGATGGTGTGTTGGCTCTTGAAAATGTATAAAATCCTCAGATGATATTCAATTAAGTCTCCCTGTTCCCTTCTTTCCTTCTATGGAAGGGGAAAGGAGTTGACATTTTAAGATAATGAGACCCAGGGAAGATGTGTAGGGGAAAGTTTCTTCAGTCATTTTTTTGTATGACAAACTCCAGGAACAGTTAAATATGCAGTGTGTAGTAGTGGGAGGGCCAGAGGCATAATTCTTCCTGTTTAGAACTAATGGGTTTGGTCTGACAATTAATTCACTGTATGTGCTTCTTGTTAATTTGCTCACATGTCCTCTTCACCTGTGATTCATGCGACCATTTGATTGAAGAAAGGGCTGTATTT